GACTCATCCAAGCAGTCACTGCAGAGTCGGTAACGACTGAGCGCAGATTAAAAAAAAATATATTCAGCTATTTAGTTTTTGGTTTTATAATCAGTAACTATAATAAGACTTAATAATTTTGCCCAAACTAAACTATACAGTAAGCCTCCTTTTACCTTGACTTGCTCTCAACCCAACCTGTATTTTCTCCACTTTCAACTTAACTCCAGGTTTCATTTTCTTAAGAGGATGAATTGTATCCCTACTGTTCTAAGTCCCAGCATCACATGCAATGAAGATTATTCAATTTTCTTTTCAGGTCATTGTTTTACCCTCCCAGCTTCCAAGGCTCTTCTAGATATGGGTGGTTGAGCTATAGCACAGAAAGTTTCTGCAGAGCAACCTTGCCATAATTAAATCCTTACTCTTATGCAATCAGCTAAATTAAATACATGATAGGAATAACAAACTCAAGATCAAGTTTGGTGTGAAATTATTTTTCTCATATCAATGTATCACATTACCATTTTCCATTGGTTCAAAATGTCATTTCATTTGCATTAAAAGCAAAACAAAGAAACAAAAAAGGAACAAACATGATGCATTCTTCCTAGGCTGCCTGATGCTAGCCGCCAAGATCACCTTCACGCTATTTTCAAAGAGTGACTTCGGGGGAAAAAATATAAAGATTTTGCAGAGGCTAATTGTGGGGGAAGGAAATCCTAATGTACAAATAGCTTTAATTCAAACATTAGATCTGAACCATTTATGCTTGTTATATTGGCAAGAGAAGAGCATTAATGCACCCCTACCTCATTCTGAAGCTCATCACCACTTTTATGTGAGGCAAGCATCTCATACAAAGTACAACAAAGATGCTCCATTGTTGGGCCTGCAGTATTTCCTTGTAGGGAGTCATTCAGATACTTCCCAACTTCACACCACAGGAAAGTATCATCGACTTTCCCAGAAGGTTTTGCACCAGAATTTTCACCACAGTTATTCGGATAATGTTCAAAATGGTTATTAAAAAGTTTCTCATAATCCAAGCTAATGACTTTCTGGTCATCCATTTCACCGTTTATCAGCAATTCTTCAAAGTCATCCAAATCATGCATGTCAAAAGAAAATGCAATATTTCTGCCAAAACACAACTTTGGCTCACTGTTTAACTCTTCAGAATTCTGCAGAAGAGCTGCAAGCTGTTCTTCAGTCAAGTGTGAAACAATCCGACAGGTGGCATCACAGGCTGCAGTGGCAGAGGAGGAGGGAAAGGGTCCAAACATCTGCTTGATGGCTTTAGTCTCATCATGACCAATACACTCCTTGGTGTGAAACGTTTTAAAAAGGAAGGCAGCACCACTTTCAATCGCTTCTTGTCCATTCTCAGATCCCACTGGACATAGAAAAACAAAAACAGAAAAAAAATGACATGTTAACTACTAACTATTTATAATACAATTAAATCTGATGGGATTTTACTTGGGTGATGTTTTTTACATCAACTTCTTGAAGCCATGGCAGATAAGGGATTTTAAAACATGAAAATGAAATAAGATTAAAATAGCTTTTTCTTATTGTCAATAAAAATGTATAACTTAAAACGGTGGGAAAAGAAGGAAAAACATTCATCTGTAAGTAGATTCTTGCAAAATATTCTATCTCTAGAGACAAAATGTGTGTGTGTGTGGGGGGGGGGGTTTCCAGAAGACTACTGGATCATGCCCAGAATGGCAAAAATCAGTGTGCTCCCCAACCCCAAGTTCTACCTCAGATATTCTTCAGTAAAGGGTGCTAAAAATAAAAGAGCTATCTGTCCAGAATAACAAAACATAAATATTTTTAAACATAAGAACAGTCCTGTGAAACTAAGACTATTGCTTAGATTTACTTTAGATAGAAAGTGTAGGTATGGATGGTGGAACAACTTTTCCTTTAGACAAAATGAGGAAGGCGAAAGACCTACCCCTCCCATACATACAAATTTCTCCCTTCCTTCTGCTGAACTTCCTGACTCTCTATTTGCCATTATCATCCAAAGACATTAAGCCAATCGCAGCTTGCAATCTTTAGCTTTGTCTCCTATATTTTCCTATGCTTCGCTTACATGCTGGGAAGATAGACTGCCCCTCCCTTATCTCAAAGTGTATCACATGTTGCTCTTTCCACAGCTCAAACAAACTCAATCGCACCATGCAGTCAGAAACTAACTATCTTGATTGTCGGCCTTATCAGCACTCTTACACCTCTCCAGGCAATCTCACAGTAATTCATGTTGTACTTGAACTTATGCATGAGTTAACCAACTAAAGCCTACCAAAAATCTGCAGAAGTACAGTTCTATTCAACCTCAATGGAACCTCTTGTCACTTTAAAGAAGAGAATATCCCTGTGCTGGCTGTAAGCACTTTGGCATTCAAGACAAAATCCAACATGACACATTTATATTTTTTATTATGGTTGGTTGCACACTCAGCCAGATGTTTAGACTAGATTTGGCATTTTTATCCACCTATCAGGTCCTTCCCAAGCACCTGGGATAGGCAGCTGTTGTTGCTTGATGGTGTTAAAGGTACCATCGCAGGATATAAGCTGTTCCAAGTAAAGCTGCCTTTTACAATTGACAGATGGTGATTTTGTCAATGCTGAGGGTCTTCAAGTGGTACTCCAGATGTTTTGGGATTGCACCTAAGGCGCCTATAACTATA